AGAGAGAGAAAGTAGAGAGAGAGAGAGAAAGGGAGAGAGAGAGAGAGAGGGAGAGAGAGAGAAAGGGAGAGAGAGAGAGACGGAGAGAGAGAGAGAGAAAGAGAGAGGAGGAGGAGGGAAAGGGAGAGAGAAAGAGGGAGAGAAAGAGGGAGAAAGAGACAGGATCAGAAAGAGAGCAATAGAGAAAGGAAACCTTTTAAAACATATTTATTATTAATCGCAGTTTTCTGCCAGTAGTTAAATAAGTGAAAATAGTATGTATACGAGTCAGTCTTGGAGTTGTGTATATGTTTGAGTGTGTGTGTGTGTGTGTGTGTGTGTGTGTGTGTGTGTGTGTGTGTGTGCTTGTGTGCCAATGTGTGCGTGTGAGTGTTTTTGTGTACCGGAATGTGGAGAGGGGATAAGTGTACGTGATGAATTGTTTTAACAAAACGTAAAATTAATAATGAGGGGATGAAGAAGTTATTGTGGATATGATCAAAGGTTTCTATATAATTTATACCTATGTATTGACTTTTAGTTTAAAGATATTGTTTTTGAATTCGTGAGTTACCTACTCTGTTACTTAAAGCTCGTGCGATGTAGCACGTAGTAATGCTGCTTACTGTCACTGGTTCAACTAGGGTTGCAATGTCAACGGGTAGTGTCAAAACAACAGCAAGGTGAAATACCCATCCAGATTCAGTAAACCACTTGATTAAACGTTGCAATTACAGCTAAAAACTTATCCATTCAGATAATGTTGGCACAGATAAAATATCGCAACACTATTCGTCAAAGAAGGCGATGAGACATTGGACATGATACCGTTATAGTTTTGTTTTAACATTTATTTTTTTTCTAACACAGGAAAGGCAATATTTATCAAAGGGTTGTAATCATTTTATAAATGAAATGCCAGCAGATGACTCAGCTTTTTTGTGATAAAGTGTGTGTACATGCTGAATAACAAGGAGAAACAGAGACATACATAATTAACAAGGAAAATGCACGGGGCTTGTTGAATGAGAGAAGAGGAGTAGACAGACAGACAGACAGACAGATAGACAGACAGACAGACAGACAGACAGACAGACAGACAGACAGACAGACAGACAGACAGGCAAGCAGACGAACTGACAGACAGACAGGAAGACAAATAAGTTACCGACAGATAAAAGACAGACAGGGAGACACAATAAACAGACAATTAAGAGTCAAACATGCTGAATATGAAAGCTATTGGTTGAAATCAAGTACTCTAAGGTATCGAATAAAAGGAGTGGGGGGGGGAGGGAGGAATAAAAAGGGGGAGGGGGTGGAAAAGTGGTCCAAAATTAATAAACGGGAGGGAGGGTTGAATAAAAGAGTGGGGGGAGGGGGGGGTAACACATTCAACCTCATACCCCTGTACTTGAAGGAACAAATATGTTTTATTTGTCCTTCAGTGAATAAAACAACAAGAGGCCATGACATTTTAGTGATTTTATTAAGTTACTGTGACAACCTTTCTCATTTAGGAACAAGCTAGTTTCAATAAAAAATATGAATCAAAGTACGAAGTTTTTAAAATGCACAAAAAATTGAGGTAGCCAACCCAGCAACGGTACTAATACTGAGGGAAGTTTGCAATTTTCAACAACAACAAAAAAAGAAGTTTCATTCAGTATCTTGATTCAAGATATTATATTTCACATGATCGTCGGTCGTGGCAAGCTGGAAAATAATAAACGAGGGGAAAAGAATAAGGAAAAT